CCTTTCCTGACATTTCAGATGCAAACTGAGTACCCACAGAAACTCTTTTCATTAGAAACACACTGGAGTTTGTGTTTTAACATTTAAGTTTGAAAGATCTTGGAAGCAAGATTTACTGACTGATTTTATTGGGCAAGGGAAAAAATATGCATTTTTAATGTAATAATTAGCTCGTATGTAAGAATGCGACATTAACACTAAGACTTACTATATATTGTGTCTGAATTGCCACTGTTTTTGTAAAAAGCAGATGGGCATCCAATCTTCATCCTTTCATATTTATTATAATTTGACCTGTTCAGAAAATTAACATACTAAACTAGAACAAAAAGAATGGCTTAGGGGAGAGAGAAAGTGATACAACCATTACAGCAGCTGGTTGGTGAACTATCAGGCATGATGGCCAAAGTACAGGTTTGAAAACATTGCAGTGTTTCTTAGAGAGGAGTAAAAAATGTCATCTCCTTTTTACAGTGACTGTAGTACTTTGCAGTTCTCATCTAGCTCTGCTTGATGATAATTTTTCTGCCTCTTCTTCCTCATGTATGGGGATGTGCACAGGGTTGCTGTTGCTGGGCTGCGAATATTTGTCCCAGCAATGTCTCTGAAGTGCCAGCATGCCAACTTGTGCCACCTGGCACAGTGTGTGCAATCCTACAAGTTGTGGGAAGTGCAGTTGCATGTCATTTTACTTCCTGGCAGATGACTCAAGTTATTTACATAAGGCAACCATTTCTGATATATTCTGTATACACTGCAACAAGAAGCAAACTTCAGAATTCTTTTCTGTTCTTGTAATGCAGAGGTGATAAAAATTGAATTGTCTGCAATAGGGAAAGGGCTTTGCACTAAGGAAAAAATATATTTGGATTATTCTTTCTTTTCTTTAAATTATATCTGCATTTGTTTTTATTCAGATAACCCCTAGTAGAAGTCATAATTTATTATTTACAATGCTAAGTATTTTCTGCTTGTCATTTTCTTGTTTTCATGCAGACCAGCTAATTTATGAAAAGTAAATCCTGCCCTGTCAACTGCTATCTAGAAATATATGAGTCAAAAACATCAATAAAGCAGAACTGCAGACTACAATGACAAAACCATTAAAAGCTGAGGTTTTCAGCAAGAAGACCCTGAGACTTTTCAGGGATGTTGTATCTGCTGCCAGAAACTATGTCCTGATTGTACAGCTAAGGAAAAGGAGCTCCTTTTCAAAATGAGAGGGGAAAAAATTCTATCTTCCTTCCTCCTATTAAAATTTTTCACTTCAGACCAACAAATCCAATTTTGCAGAAAGTCTTCCAGCCTTGACTTTATTTTACTAATTAAAATTTTGCAACATCTCATTGTTGTATCTGAGACTAGAATTCATAAGCAATCTTTTAGATTTCAGAGATAAAAAAAAAAAAAAGCCAAAAACACAATACCTGTATAAATGTAGGTGTTGTTTGCAGTTACCTCCTTGAAGCCTTGAGGTTTACCTTAAAGGAGTGATGGGACCTTAAGGGAATTGAGGAGAAATACTCTGAAATGCATCTTTTGGTTTACCAGATTTAACAGCTAGGTGTTGGGGCCTCTGAGGAATTTAGTTTTGTCTTAAATGTAATGCCTTAACACTCATCAGTGAGTTTACAGTGTTTATGTTGTTGACTCACTTTTTGATTTTTAGAGATGTTATACCAAGTTGTACAGCTCATAGCTTTACTTGGGGGTTTCCGGTATTAGTAATTTTGAAAGGATTTGGTTGTATTATGTCTTCTCAATGGGTGAAATACTTGGACGAGTGAATTAATAACAGGAGAATTTAAAGAATGAATGTTTTTTGCTGGGCAAACTATTTACAGTGATGAGCAAACTAATTCATTTTCCTAATAAGGCTGTGCTAGAAGTTGAATGTTGGAATTACATTAAACGTCACAAAAGTATTCACTGGAGAGAAGCAGTTTGTAGGATGTTGGGAAAGTAAATTTGAACATGTTTTTCTGGTTGAAATGAACTGTTTATGCAGACTAAGTATAGCCCTTTTATTGAAAGAACAAACAACTTTGATGGAGAAGTGCAAAAATGTTGTGCACTTTCGTTTTCAGTATCCCAGCTGTCACTAACTGATGAATGTTGCCTGTATTTCCATTGTCTAAAATAATTTGTGTGAAGCTTAACTATGCCGCCTGGAATTCAATCCAGCAACCATTAGCAAAGATCTTTTGTGTGCGCTATTTATAATAAGCATTTATTACTGAGCTTTTGTGTCTGTTTTGTTTGTACATAACCAGAATTTTACATAAACTAATACGCTGAATTGCCATCTTTAAGTCATTCAGAAAATACCCTGCTGTTCTACTTTCCTAATGAGTATTAACAAGACAAGAATGTCATCTTATTCTGGAAGCCCACATCGTCAGGTATTAATACACTCTGCTTAATCAAAATAGTATGAAATCTTAAATTGCTAGGTGGAAAGCTAGGTGTTAACAGCTAAGAAAATGATCAAGAATATGCAGTTAAGTGTTTCATCTTACTTTGCAGATTTCTTAATATCTATCTTTATTTCCAATGACAGCAATCGAGATGTAAGCCCTGAAGCAGGTAGTTTCTTAAATGTGTTGGACACGTTTAGCTCTTCAGTTTGAACTGTGCATTTCCTCTTGTACTGTCTTGTCTAACCACTGTACATTTTTCACATTCAGATCCTGGTGGCTCAGTTTGCTGGATGAGCATTTTCTTTATGCGGTACTGGATAAATCAAAGATTTTAGTCTGACTATGGTCTGAATCTGACATGGCCAAGTTAAACTGTTTGAAGTATGTCTGGGACACAGACTTATGTCCTTGTTTCAAGTATGTTTAGGGGAATTAAAGTAGTGTTGTGCTGTCTGCTGTCTGATTCCAGTAATAAAAGAACACTGGGAACAGTGTAGTTATCAAGACTTTTTTTTTTTTTAATGCATTTTTTTCTCCTTGGTGGATGAATTTTGAAGAGTAGAAGCAGGGATTGAAATTTTGCTAAGTGCTATGATGAATTCAGAGCAAACTCATGCTGCAAACTGGAATTTAATTATTTTTAAAACAATCAAGAAAAAGATGCATTTATCTTACAGATTGGAACTGCAGGATCAAGCATTAGCAGGGAGAAACATTTCTTCTCAAGTCTGAAATAAGGAGTTGATCTGAGTAGTGAATCTCTTTCTACTCCTAACTGTTAGATTAGTTTAATCCATATTTTAAAAGTTCCAAGTTTATTAACAAATGCATACCTAAAACATAGAACAAGATGCATATTTCCTTCTAACTCTAGTCTTTAAAAAGAAAAGGCTTCCATATGTGTTGTTACATTTATGTTGCTTTTGTTGCTGCAAATTGACAACTCTGCAATTAGGAGTGATTAATGATGCATCTCGGTGCTTTGGAGAGCTGGAGGCCAGAATTCTCATAGGCTGGAAACTCTGTGGGAAACAGGAGAACAGACCTCTTCTTCAGAGTGGGGAAAGCCCTCTCTCTGAGAATTATTGTTGATGTGGACATGGTGCATGTCAGCTGTGATGCACAAATGATAAAGGCAAAGTGCAGATGATGATCTTCTTGCACTCTGTATTTGCGCTTTTTTTCCCCCTGCTTGTTATTGTTTTATTGCTTTTTCAGTTTGTTTACCAGTGTAGCATGTGAATTATATGCATCTCCCTTTTTTAATAAGTGAGTTCCTGAACCTGAATGGCCGAAAGGCTGTTTTGAAACTGAATGAGCTCTGAGGACTAAATGGCTTAGAGGGGAGGAGTAAACATTTTAAACAATTATTAAAAAAGAAAAAAGACATTTATTAAGACTTAAGAAGACTTCAGTTAAGCAGACTGGGTGGGCCTGCTTCAAATCTGCCTTATACTATAGGGGTGTTTAATGAAAATGTATTCTCTGCTGATCTCAAAATAAACAAATCTTTTTTTTGCCTCAGCAACAAAGTATCTTTCAGAAATATTAATCCAGCTTCAGTTCTGCAAACACATGCTTAGATGGTTCTTAGAAAGTCAAAGTTGTGGGATTTTTAGGCAGGATATGATAACTCTTGTTCAGTCGTTCAAGGATTCAGCTTTTCTGAGCAGCTACCAAATATGGCTGGAAATGTTTTGAAATGTGTCAGGAAGCCGTTTTTCTACCAAAACATCAACAGAAAGCTGAAGTATATCAGTAGTGATGTTGTCAGACAAAATGTCAGTGGGTTGAACTTTTTCTTGATTTGATTGCTTCTGTGAAATTGTAGAGTGTTAGTGTACTTTTGCACACATGTACTTGCAAATCTAAAAAAAAATAAATCAAATGAGATTCTCTTACTGTCCTATGTTACCAGTTCAGAACTTGTCATTTCTTTATCTTCATCCTTTCTGTTACAATATTTCCTTTGCTTCCTACCACCCAGTGGTAGTTTCAATGCATTCATTGTTTGGAAGGCTTTTTTTTTTTTTTTTTTTTTTGCTATCTGCTGTGGAATTCAAGTGATATTAACCTCATCTATGAAGACCAAATACTGTGCCAAAAGTGGCACCCTGTATTTTTTAATTTAAGTCATTCAGAAGGATTGTTGTTGTTTTAAAAGGAAGCTTTCCGTTTTAAGCCTAGATAAGGGTTATGTACTTGAGAATGCAACTTATCTGACCAGAACTTTTGAGTTACACAATATATCTTCTAATGAAAGGAAGGAAAACAACAAGCAAATTTCAACTGATGTCTCCTTTCTGGCGATATGATGTTATGAATTTCTAAGTGAAATAGTACTTAGTGATGCACACCAGAGTTCCTAATTTTGCATCTGGATTAGTTCATCCAGTTTGTTTTTCCTTCTGCCCTCTATTTACCAGATATATAACTTGAATACTTCTTGTTTCCCTTAAAGGAAACAAAATGGTACAATTTATAAGTCTGTGGATAGATTGTGGTGAGTTGGGAAAGGGAAATACTTAAACATTGAAGCCTTTGTTTTTGTAATTGTGTGTATGTTTTTTTCTCTTCCAGAGTGGCTCCTGCAACAAAACCTGATCTTATTCAAGTACCAAAGGTATGTTCATCACCTCAACCAAGACATGTAGCATGTAACACTAACTGTTACCCATCTGTTAAATACCATCTGTTAAATAGTATAGCATGCTGTATTTCCACATCTTTTTTCTCTCCAAAAAGAATTGAGAAACCTGGCAAATGAGCATCTATTTAAAAAAAATTTAAAAAAAATTTAAAAAAAAGTAAATAAATGTTATCTTCCAGCTTTTAGAACTTTTTTGAAAGATAATGCTGAATTTTTGTCTATATCCTGAAGGGAGAAACTCTTTTTCATTTTCATCTGCAATTGCTCTAAAGGCAATGACTTAATAGAAAGAGGGAAAAAAAGAACAAACTGTTGCTCTCTTGCATCCCTGACCCTGGGATAACCACATTTTTCTTTTCCCACATGGCTGTAGTATATCAGGTGGTATCAGTCTTATATTTTTCCCATCTGGAAGCTATAATCTGTGTTGATCTTGGGTTATGTATTTGTGACCCAACAACTCAAGTGGCTCCTGGTCCTGGAGTCTCAAGTAAGGACAGGAGTGGGTCTGAAGTTTGGCTGGAGAAACTGTTGTCCTTGTAGTCTGTGGAGTGCAACTAGAAAAACCAATTTGGTTCCGAAGCACTGGCCTCTGACAAATGAGCTCCAGGGCCCTGGTTCCTCTCTTCAGGCCTCTATCAACAGATCAATGTATACCGTGTGTTCATATGCACTCACATGATCCTAGCTTATGAGGAATGTGCGTTTCTCAAACTGGATTTGGAAGTGGAATGTGGATTTCTAAAAACACTAATATTTTCCACATGAATTATCCATTGGGTTTTGCAGTGGAGCAGTGCTTAAGTTTGTCTTGAATTTGATTTGTGTAGTGTCTGTTTTGGATGCAGTGAGAAAAGTTAGCATTGTGGTCTTTGATTTTTGACCATGCACACACAGATCATTCCCTTTCTTAAATGCATGGCTCACTTTTTCCATAGATTTCTTTACTGCACTCTCACTTGCTTCTATGATGCTCATACCTCTTCTTTGCTTCATGCTAGGCAGATTATCTCCCTCAGCAGCACTGAAAATACCTGCTGAGGAATGTGCATGTGGTTGGTGTGGTTTTGTGTGTTTCTTTTCTTTTTTTTTTTTTATCTTGCATAGGGAGAACCTAAAGAAGTAGTTAAGCCTGTGCCTGTTGCCTCTGCTGCTGCATCCAAAGTCACTGCCATGGCCAGTGTGGCTTACAATAAGACCCCGAGGCCATTCGGAGCTGTGGCCTCCTCAAAAGTCACCTCCATCCCATCACCGTCCTCTGCCTTCACCCCAGCCCAGGCAGCACCCATGCTCCCCACCCCGGCCCCATTTGCTGCACCAGGACTGCATGTTAACGCCAAGCCTAATGCTGATGGGCGTCCGCCCACGCCGAGCACTGCTAAACCTGCCGTTAATGTCCCACGGCAGCCTGCCACGCACAATGCCGCTCCGGGCGGCCATGTCGGCGACGGCACCCAGGAGCTAGCGGAGGGGCTGCGACGAGGATTCAGAGAGAACCAGGGTGACAATAAACAGCAAAATGGGTAGGTGGGATTTTTTTTTGCTGTGAGGGTCTCTTCCTCGCAGGAAAAAAGCTGGGCTTGTTCAAGTGCCAAGTAAAACACATCTCAGGTGTGCTGTCCAATTACCAGAAGCAAATTTCTGAGGAATTAGTGTGCCTTCAGAAAAGGGTGCTTTGAAGGGCTGAGTCTATGAGAATTTAATTCTGAAAATATGTCAGTTTGTAGTGGCACACCTAAATTGCAGCAGACCACACCGAAATTTGTTGTATCATGATGTGTTTTCAGACTGTGCAACAAGCCCAGCATTCATTTGGACACCTGTGTCTCATTGTTTACGTTGGGTCCCAATGCAGAGGTTGAAAGCAGCAGGCACTTGGAGGTGCAGAGCCACCTGGCAAGAAGGATTGTTGACCTTCAACATTGATTGTTATGACTGTCGTCTTGCTTTTTGACTTTTCTTGACTAATCTTCAATTTCAAGAACTTGAAACCTAAAATTTATTATTAGCATTTCCCATTCCTCAAAGGGAAGGGGGTGAGGCCTGGTGCTCATCTCATCCAATCTCCTCTTGGCCTGATACGAGGAAATCTACAGAAAAGTAGCCATCCATATCAGCTAAAATAAAAGATCACAGTTTCAAGTAATCATCTCCTGGAAAGAAAAATTTAGGCGTCTATTCCCCTAAAATTGCAGTACAAATATTTTCCATATGCATATTTATATAATGCTGGCCATATGGATTTTATATTACTCTGTTGTCATGGTGCCTTCAAGGCCAATCTTTAACAGATGATGGAAGGAATCCATAGTGCTTAGTGATGGGATGAGAGCAGGAGATCCCAAGGACTTGCTTCTTGAATACACATTGCCAGACTGTCTTTGTCTTCCCAGGAATGTATCTTTACCAACTGGTGTGTAAGGAGCATTCAGAAGTACTAATTGGTACTAAAAAAGCTGAACAGTAGCAACAAAATTAAGTTTTCTGGAAGGAAGTGCTGGAGGTGTAAGCACTTAACAATCCAGATAGAGTGACTGAATGCACGCTGATACCTTTCTTGCCTTATGTTTAGAGATGAGTGAATAATACTGAGGAGTTTCACGGCTGGTAGGTTGGGAAATTCCTGTCTTGCTGCCAGCCTTGCTTATCTAGTTTGGGTAATCTTGAAAACATTTGCAGCGGAAAAGGAACAAACAAAAAAAGAATGAGCTAAACTGTATTATATCTTCCCAATGACAGTGTTTTAAGTCTGTAACTCAGTTTAAGTAAGAATTAAATACTAGTCTTGCAATCCTGAAGTAGGAAACAAGTAAAGAAACATTAAAGTGATTATGTTCATCTGCAGCTACCTGACTGACTTTGTTTTACTTAGTTAACCATCGCTGTAGAAATGTAAGTTTGCTAAGTAAAGCCACAACCCCATTTAACAGTGGAATTTGACACTTATGATGTAACAGTGAAGGCTTTAAATTACTGATCAATCTGAAATAAATTCAATTTTACTTCTTGTATACTTGCATCTTGTTCATAGACAGCACTGCTGAGCAAATAGAATTCTTCAGACATAGCTTAATACTCAGAAGTTGTTTTTTTCCTTCCTTCCTCCTCACTTCCCCCAAATAATGTTTGGTATATAAACTATTTGCCTTCACTTCAGGATGGGCCAGGAAGTTTTGTTTTTCCTTGTTTACTCCTGGAATAAATGGAGAGCAATTTGTCCTTACTAGGCTACATGCAATTAAATTTTGTTGTGACTTTCTTGCCAACTCTCACATGAAAATGTGCCTGCTGCTTTAAAAAAGGTAAGATGTTCATAGACTTCACTCAATTTAAGTTCAGGTGGGCTAAAGTTTTCCTTTATAGGTTCTCTTGATGGTTTAAGTTTTGACTCTTTATGTGACTACCAGAACTTGGATTTGGAAGATCCTGTAATATTTCAAGAAGCAGAGAATGTATTAACAAGTCAAATACCTTTTTTCCCTTGCAGATAACAACAATGACAAAGTTAGTATCAACAGCACTGGAGTTGAATTATGGTCGTTTTTTTTTTTTTTTGTTGGAATAACCAGCATGTATTTTGGTTTTGCAAACAAAACAATATTATATAAAACTCTTACAGAGTTTTATATTTAAAATTTTGGCAAAACAGCTTCAGCTTCCTTATAACTACTTAGTGTAATAAATGATTTGTCTGCATTGGACATGATGTGATCTTGCTTTTCACTGTGTTAAACTGCAGTATTTTTAAAAATTATTCCTCAAAACATTTGTGCAGTATTTGTGTACTGATAGATTCTTGATACACCTATAGCTAATTGGTGTCAGTAATACAACTGGTGAATGATGAAATACAGTATAAAAGGGAAAATGATCTGAGGAGTATGGAATGAAAGGCCAGATGTTGAATTCATACCACAAAATTAAGAATGACATGGGATGATAATTATGACTTATTGTGATTTTATTGGCTTGTCTTCTGCTCTTGCCTCAAGAATGAGTCAAGGCTCAGTCTGTCTCATAGAATATTCCTTTGCCTCTGGCACCACCTCGTGCCTCAGCGGCTCATTACTAGTAGACCATTGAGCCATAAGAAAGAAAGTAAAAGCAGAGAAACCAGCAGGATATTTTAATTATTATACCATTATCATCAAATGTGAAAGACTTAATTCACCGTGATAGTTGCTAGAATGCAGTCAATAATATTATTCTAATGCTATTACAGCATGTAAATAATTACATTTCTATGTAACACTATACCCTTAATTACTGCTTTAGTTTTCAGACTTGATTCTCACTATTAACTGTTTTATTGCTTTACTTCACTTTCTTTGGATTTATTTTACTCCATCCTGGAAATGCCACTGTCCTTGCTCCTATACCCCTTCCTCTGTAGTAACCTGGCGAGGTACATTTCCTTCACTAATGCTGTGTGTCCTTAAATTCAATTTTTTGCTGTAATTTTGAATGATAGGTTTCCTATCATTCGAATGTTGTCTATTCTTTTAAGCTTAAGTATCTGTTAATGCATTCCACTGAATGGATCTAATTCTTTCCTGATGGCAATTAATAATGTACAAAATTCTCATTCACATTTTTAATCTTTACCAAAAGCACTTCGGACATTAACAATGCAGTAAGTAGTAGCAAAAAAAAAAAAAATTAATAAAAATAAATTAATAAATAAATAAATAGAAGTAACTTTTAAAGCGTTAGGTTGTTTTTATTTTATTATTATTATTTTTAATAGAATTATGATTTCTTAGGAGCTAGTTTTGCACAGGTCATCTCTTATAAATTTTGTAAAAAAAAAAAAAAAAAAAAAAAAGAAGTACAGGTATAGGTTCTGAGAGATTAATGCTTTGAGATAACTAATAGAGAATTTAGGAATAACATATGTAGTAGGAATCTTCTGTTACCTGCTCTTAAACTAATCAGTGTTGTTATATTTTCTTTAGATCAATTACTTAATGTAAGGCTTCAGAATCCTGTATTCACTTAAGTCCACAGTTCAGGGGTTGGTCATATAATAGCACAGAAGTTACTGAGGAGAAACATTTCAGATAAAAATCATTACCCTATGTTCTTTTACTTTTGGAGAGGGTATCAAGACTCTGTAGCTTCCCATTGTGCTTTAGGGCATGTTTACCTACACTTTCATCCAGCTATGACCCAGGTCATACCAATTGCAAAAGACTTGGTGTGTGCTGGGTGGCCTTGTGCACAGTTAGCTTTTTGCCTCCTGTGAATGAAAGGAAGAGTTTGTCCAGGACTTTTAGTCCAGGACACTTGATCATAAGTGAATAGACTACTGGACTTTATTAAAACAAGCATATTCACCTATTATTTCAATACTCTTTCAATACACTTTCCCCCCAAACTAATTCAGTAGAATAATTAGCTGCATTTTTTGTTTCATACTTCTTACTTTATTTCTTCTTTTCTTTTTTCTCTGTTTCCTGTTTACACTGGGAATACTTTTTCTTGCTGTTATTCTGTCATCTCCAAGGAAAATCCCACCCAAACGGTAAATGTTTAAATATGTATGTCTTGATAATACTGCCTTTTACAGTTTCAAATGTTCCAGTAATGATACAAAAGAAAATATTTTATTTGGATTAGAATAATTATCAAATTGTATTTTTGTTCAGAGAACTGCGTATGTGTTCAGATGTGTTTGTAGAGCTCACTGCTTTATTCAAAGTTGTCTTTAAATGCTGTGAAAAGCCACAGTTCTGCTCATGTTTCTGTAGTTACCCCAACCTAGATGATTCACGAAGAAGCTTTTAGCTCACTGTTCTCTTCTCTCTTCGACACAGCCCGCCACGGAAACACATTGTGGATACCTATACGGAGTTCTACCACACCCCTACTCACAGCGATGCCAGCAAGAAGCGGCTGATTGAAGACACTGAAGACTGGCATCCCCGGACAGGCACCACCCAGTCACGCTCTTTTCGCATCCTTGCCCAGATCACCGGCACTGATCATAGTGAGTAGCTTCATAAGGAAATAAAATTAAAGGCTGTGATAGGTGTTTTTTTAAAGCTGGTGGGGGAAATAATAAGGTGATTCAGTCAAACTTACTAGTTTTCCCCTCTTGGACAATAAATCAAGAAGGCAGAAGACAGTTTCAGAAGACTATAGTAGGAAGTTGTCTTTATAGAATTGTTCGAATTCCTAGGTAACTTAAAATATATGCATTAGTAGACATTATTTCTTATTGATTTGAGTATCAGTACATTCTAGATAGATATTAAAGTTACCATTTCTACTCCTAAAATAGTTGGCAAACATGTATTTGCCATTTCTTTCCCCTTCTGCATGACCAAAATGGCACTGCTTCTCTTCAAATGCAGTACTTCAGAAAGTGCAAAGAAAAACTAAAGCTTTTTTCAGGTAGAAAATCTTTGACGATTATATGAAGGTATGCAATCTGTAATGATTTAACTACTCAGAAGCACGATTCCATAGCTCCTCAGTTTATTCCTGGGGCATGTTTTCATCCTCTACTTAGGATATAGTATGTCTATATTTAGACATAGTTTGAAACTAAAAATGCAGAGATCTTTCCCAGTCATATAATTTTATGGTGGATCTTGAATTTCTCTTCATGCTCTTAGTTGTGGTTTATTGGCTGATACCTATAAAACTATATAAAATATATCAGAAATTGTGTCAGAATGTTTGATGTCTGTCATGTTCAGACAGACAGCTAATGGAAAGGTTGATAATTTCATTTTTTTTCTGCTTTTTACATCTAGTGCTATGACAAGTGAATATTTTAATAATAATAAAATAAAGGCAGTGAGTAAAGTGGACTCCATCCCTGGGGGCAGATTTGATTAAATCAGCTATCAATTCTCTGGCAGAATTACTCTAAAGACCAATGATAATATCTCACTGAATGAGGATTAGTGTCTTTGTGTGACACACCATTCTGAATTCAGACAGTTAATAGTTTGTTTGGTAATCCTGTGTTGTACTAGTCTAGTATTGCATCATTATCTTTCTTTGAATTCTCTCCCTGTCAGATTGAGAACTTAACATTAAATAATACATCTATGTTCTGATCTAGTATTGATAAATAATAACGTTACTAAATATTACAAAAGTGTGATTGCAACTATATTCGCCAAACTTAAAACCAGGCTGAGCTTTTATGTTATTCTGCCTGCAGCCCTTTAGCACCTTGATGAGTCATAGCCTTACAAACAGATGCTTGAATTATCACCCCGTTCAAACCCTCTGGATGTTTGTTCAAAAGAATTGCCTCCAAAATTCCACTCTTCTCAACTCCCTTTCTCTGTACTTTCTCAATGCCAACATGGACAGTAGGCCAAGAGACGTGACAGAGACCAGCAGAACCACCTTACAGTAATTGTGCTGGCAAAGGGGTTCTTCAAGTTTATAGACATATCTCATTTCCCATAGGGCAAATTTAGCATCGAGGAATTCAAACATGACTTGTTGTAATTTCCTGTTGGGGTGAATACTTTGGCACAGGGAAGAATCTCGGTGTTTGGCAGTGCTGTTTTGTGCCTTAGGAAGTCAAAATTTTCTGTTTTCTTGCAGTGAAAGAACCAGAACATGAAGGTTCAAAGAAATCTAAGTGAGTCAATGTTTTACATTATTACTTTAATACTTTGCATGTCTTATTTCATAACTGATAGTGTTACTTTTGCATTTGTGTGAAGTTTGAGTGTTTTTAAAATATTGCTGCTTTTGCCTTGTAATTCAGCATGTAAAAATCAAGATCTTTCTATGCAGACCAATCTTTTAAAATCCCTGTTTGTACAGTCCAGTATTAATATTTGTGCAGGAGTTTGAGCTTTTCCAAAAAGTTGGACTGTTTTGCTTTTCTGTGCAAGGTCAGCTTGTCAACATGTTTTCTTTTTCTAAATCTAACCAGGCATTTTTGATTTGCAAGTGTGTATCGGGTTTCAAGATGTAGCTGGAAAATATTACTGTTCTAGACTGAATGAGGGTCAGCTGTCTCCTTGGTTTGGGATAAGTGTTGTTTGATATGAGGACAATGTAGAGGCTAAATCTTACTGTTTGTGCAGTCGGGAGTCTTCCTATTGGCATTATCTAACACTGGAGGCAACAGTTTGAAGGACAGGAAGGAGATATATGGATATAAGTAGTGCATGGAGATTGCATGCCCACTTGTGCAACTGCTTGAGACAATCTTTCTTTCTTTCTTTCTCTTTTTCTTATTTTTTTTCTGTCACTTCTTTCCACAGGGAAAAGCTCCCCATCCACGTCTTTAGCCCCAAATATACAAAATTACGTGACTGGCACCATGAAGTCTCAGCACGTGTTCTTAATGTCCAGTGATTTTACCCAAGTTGCAAAAGCAAAATACAAACACTTCCTTTCTTCTTTTCCATCTGCTTTGCAAAAATAAAATAGAAAATGTATTTCATTAGCCTTGCTAAGAGAGAAATTCTAGCCTTTTCTATACTTTTCTAACACTTTCCTACTGATGTATAAAAACTGAGATAAAAATGTTTTTGTGCTAGTCACTAGTTAACAAAAAAAAAAAAAAAAAACCAACCAAACACGTACTTATCACAGAACAACTTGGGTTTCCCAGTAAGGGGGAGAAGATGGCTGTTGCAGTTCTTTTTGCCTCAAAAGAGTCATTTGCATTGCTAAGTTTCAGTTACTGTAGGTTGTAGCAGAAAACAGCGAACGAGAGAATATGAAATGGTATTACTTTGATTTAGGGGTAGGGGAAGAGGAAGAAGAGGGCTGAATGCATTTACGTCAGACTGTGGTACTTAACAGGATAATTGTCTTGGATTTCATTAGATTTTCAGCGAGTCAAATTTAGAGTGGTTGTAAATGTTTTACAAAGTAGAACAAGAAGACAAACAGCTTCTAATTGAATGAAAGTAGTAATAATAATAAACAATTGCCAGTTGCCAATCCAAGTGCAAGCTAAATATAAAGATTCTGCAGCTTATAGTGAACTGTTCATATTGTAGAAAAGCTAGAAGAAAACAAACAGAATGTTGCTGTGTACCTTACCTGTAAGAGCTTCAACACATAGCTTCTAACAAGAGCAAGACAAGACAATAGTATTTATTTATTTCAGAGTGAAGCTCTTAGAATTTCTAGTGTTTATAAAAGCTTCATGGCTCTGTGGTTCTCCTGTAAAATAATGTATTATAGTAGCTACACTTCATTAATTTATGCTTTCTGAAGCTTGAAGAGTATTTTAATAAAAGTTGCTTTTAACGTAGTGATGTCTCTTTTCTTTTGAGTCTCTTGGACTCCTTGAGTAGTCTGCTCATGCAAAGAGTTGTAAGTTCATTACACCTTCACAGACTGTAGCAAGAGGAACAATCACATCCATGCTATTAGTATGCCTAGAAACTCTCTGAACTCTACGAAAGTATCAAAGTAACTTGAAAAGAGTTATAATCATGTTTTGAAATGTGTTACTTTTTTTGTGTTTTCAAAATTGACACAAGATTTACAGAAACTGATAAAATGATTGACCTATTGTGTGACTGCAGAAGTAAGAATTCAATTAAGTAAAATTCACCATCACCTGTTGCTACATTTTTGAATCACACAAGTTTCAACCCTCATATGGGAACTGTGAGACACGTATACAAGTCCAATTGCTCATAAATGTTTCATGAGAATCATTGCAATTGGCTTGTAGTTTCTGAAGCTTATCTAAAAGTTGTTATGAAATTGGTCTTGTAAACAGATTGATGTTCACAGAAAGCACTTATGTAGAAATGGGTGGTGGGCTTTTGGGGGGATTTTTTTTATTCGGTTGGTTTTGTTTTAATTGCACAAGTTGGAAAATTGAAAGGGATTGACACCTTTAATGAAGATATTTTATGCCTATATTTCCTTTCTAGATGGTTTATACTGATACACAGTATAGTATCTTACTGTATTTGTCACTTTATCTTTAGGGAAAAAAAAACAGAGAATGGAGAGCTCAGGTAACAGCCAAGTTATCTAATGCTAACAATCACTGATATGGATGCATAACATTGCACAGCATAGAGTACAATTATATTTACACCAGTAATGACAGACTAAGGCATCTCACTTATTACACACCTTTTGGTTTAACTCCTTAGGAGCGAATGGGAAAAGTACTTCAATAATTTCACTGAAGGCTGTTTTGATGAGAAGTGCCAATCAGTTTGTCTTTTTTCTACCACATAACTCAGTTGTCCAAGTACTATGTTACTAAAACTGAATGTTACTGAAGAGCACATACACTGCCATGTAATCAGTTAACAGAATACTGTGTATTGAATTAAGAATGTAAAACTGTGTGTGAAAATTATTATGCTTGGTTTAAAAAATTTCTTATGAATGAAAAAGAAAACAGGAATTTCTGAGGCTATCAGTACAATGAAAACCATGAGAGATTATCACTTCGATTCTCTGAAGTATTCTTCATAAGGTTAGAATGGTTTTGGCCTTTGAGTATTTCTATGTTTGGAAGATGTTCCTGAGTGAGAGTTAATGAGGTTTTCTTCTTTTGAAGGATGAATTACTTTACTTAGACACAAGTGAAAAAGCCTCTCTAGGTAATCCAAAGCATAGAAGTCTCTGTTTTAATTAAAAGTAAACATAGGCAATCCCAGTCTATCTATTTTGAGTATGAGTATAGTTTGATTAAGGCTACCTAAAGTTTTGTATTTTTATGAATTCATAGTAACAAAACTAGTTCCCAAAAACATAATATGAACATGTAGAACATTTTATTTCCTACTATGAAGTTGTCATCTCTTCTCCGAGTATCCCCATTACACAACACCAAAGATTCTGGGCTTTGTTACTGTATCCAAAATAATGCTCGGCTTTTCCATTTGGATGTGGATGACATGCCTTAGCTCACATCTTCCTGGTATGCACCAGAAAAACATTATGAAGATGTTTTTGATATAAATGAATTGGCTTAAATATAAGTGATCACCTTAAAGAGAGAACATAACAAAAAATGGTATAGAAACTTGTCTTCCATCAGTAATCTACTGATAAATATCACAACTTAATACTACAGCTTTATGGACACTGTCCAAGGCAAATGCCATGTGGGTTTTTAGTATTATTCTCTCTCCCTAAACTGCCACTCTAGGGATATTTAAGTGAATAAAAGAGATACATTCTTATTCTTTTTTTCCTTTTAGTTACATGGGAGGACAGGAAATTGAAGCAGAGGGCCATCAGTGAAATGTGTAGATTGCGACTCTTAAGACAGTTACTTGAAATTTAGAAAGGGAAAGTCTAGTTTATTTACACATTTTAAGAACTGCTCAGTTCTAACTCTACCGTATCCTATTTCTCAGTATGTTGATGTTCACTTTTAACTGTATAATTTTGAGCCACTGAATCCAGATTTTTTTTTTTTTTTTTTAATGTAGAATCACTTCACTTTCCAGAGTAAAGACATGTATAGATTTTCCCAGATTTATATTTTAGCTAATCTATAGCTGCTGGAAAATATTTGTCCCTCAGTTGATCAGTAATGAAATAAATCATGTGATTCTTCTATTTTTCTCCTCATCACAAATACCTGTAAAGAATACCTGCAGATCTGCATAGCAGAGCAGAAGCCCAGGATACCTCTACTAATCTGAGTAAAAGCTCCACTGCCACCCAGGCTTTGGAGATACCACCTGTACCAGAATTTCCATCTACATATTTAATTCCTATGAGGTCTGTTCCCTGATCACTCCTATGCTATCTATTCTTTAATTTTCAGCACTTAGTATGGGTCCCTGCTTTATTAACATTCTTAGTTCTGCATGCTGATTCAAATAAATAAAATGAAACAAACTCTACTTGTGTGGCTATCTTAGTCTGCTCTAAGCTCATGGTTGATCACTTTTACTTTTGTACACTACAATAAGATTTCTGGTGGGTATTTTTCTTTAAGTAGAGATCCACCATTTTCTAGATTATTTTCTTGTCTGGGAAAAAAAAAAAGGGGTGGGGCAGGGGGAGGGCAGAAATGCATACTGTAATCTTAACAAAACTAACATCCTGAATAGTCACATCAAATAGTAAATACAACTCGGTGTGTGAGTACCACCAGCACTTTTGGCTGTTTCTTTTCTGGCATTTCCTAAAAACTTTTCCATCGCAAAATATAATGTTCCGTATTTATCAGTGGAAAATACTGCTTAGCTTTCTGAGTTGATAAGCAGCAGGATGCTTCTCACCCTTCACTAAAAGTGTGACACCTCTTAGGAGTATTGTGCCTCATTTTATCTCCCATTTTTATTTCACTATGAACTGTAGCATTTTTTTCTTTTTATAATTCACTAACATTTTTAAGCACTGTGTATCCTGTCCAGCACATTATTTCAGTATGGATTTAAAATCTTTGTATGTTTTGTTATTGCGAATGGAGTGAAAATGATGCTAGAGCAGAGTCTGCAGCCACTTTTCTGCCGATAGCAGAGTCCTCCCCTGGCAGTGCCACATCTCTCAGACTCACTGAACACATTGATGCAACAGCTCCTGGGAGGTAAATCTTTCAGATTTCATTATCTTGTGGGAAGGAGAGCTGTCTGTCATTCACTTAAACTTGTCTTTTTAATCTGCCATTCATTAGCGACATTA